CACATTCCCAAGCGCTAGGTGACAGCTGCGCAGCGGCCGGTACTAGCGTAAGCCCGAACCTTCGTGACACGACCCCGGGGGGGGGGGGGGAGGGAGGGGATCGGGCGGGGCAGCGCGTGTAGGGAGGGGTGCTCCGGTGGCTGGCAGTTGTCGCGGCCAAAGGTCAATGAGTCACACACCAAGCGAACGGACGCTGATGTGGGTTCGTGGGGATCGTGAACTTGTGTGTGGTAGGTGCGTCTTGCGATGCACGTGTGATACGCCATGGGTCTAAGCCAAATGATTCAGGGGAGAGCTGAAGAAAAACACCAGGTCAACTACGGCGAATAATGGTGCTGAAAAATGGAAAGTATGGGTCAATGCAAGCATTCATGATAATAAACAACTTTTCTGAGGACGCAAAGGCCAGCATTGAATAACTATATCCGGATCGAAATTAGCAGTGATTTAAAATTACATGCCAAACTAATAGCGCTGCAAAACCCACCTAGTAAATTGTCAAGTCGGATTCATACCGACTTGAATTAAACTATCCTAAATTAAATTGTTAATTAACTTTCTAACACTGACGTTCTTTATCATATGATAAGTATGGGGTTAACCAAGATTCAGCATCTTCCGCGCTCAAACAATCACCCGTAAGGTTAGAACATTAATGGCCAGGGAAAAACAAGGTCGGGATTTGATTAACCTCGCAAAATGGTCACAGGGGAAGGCGGCTCGGTGGTATTACGTTTGTCATGCTCAGCCTAATAGTAGAAATATGCACAGTGTATACAAACAAATATATACATTTTTCTGGGCAAGACCATTGTGAGGCCCTAGGGTCAACTTATAAGACAAAACCCTTTTGGCTCATCTGTTTTTCGTCAATAACTCCCGATCAACTAAAGCTACCGAGTCGATAAAGTCACTAATGGACATGGAAAGACCTGCCAAATCGATTGATATGCAATATGACCTCCTTTGACCAGCTTCGTGACCTGACGGGCTGTGACCTGACCTTGACCCAAAGTTAACACCTTAAGTTGATCTCACCCGAAGAAAAAGTATACCATTCGACACGCCTGAGCTAGACAAACACGACGCGGCTAAAATCGCGGATCTGCGATCATTTTTAGCGAAGTTATTTACCAAAAACCGAGCCTGTGCCTTGGACCACTTGACCTGACCTCAGAAGTCATCGGCTGACCCTAGTCCTTAAAGGGACTATCCCACCTTTAACATGGGGTTTGAGTTGAGATAGCCAAGTTTGCGGCGAGGTTCAGAAACCATTATCTATCTAGGTTGCAACCCCCGCGGCCTCTTGGTGTTGAAGAAATTCGTTCCCTTCATTTGAAAGGCCCTATCTTCAACATGGAGCGACCGTTAGTGTGACGTCACCTCGTTTAGTCATTCTGATTTAAATGGGTTTGTTCGTTGAAAAATCGCTTAAAACTTGGTCTGAACTTTGTTGTGGTGCCTACAGAGTAAAAAGAATCAGCTTTATGACAGTAATGTGGCCTGGGGAAGGAGGTAATTTTGGGCTGTGACGTCACATATTTGAAAGTTTGTGTTTGGAATATGGGAAGCCTAAGATGTTTAATGAAAAATAAATGCCAGAACCGTGTTCCTGGTCATCCAATCTATAAAGTCGGGCACAATTTAACTGGTTTTAACAACATTTTAGAAGGTGGGATAGTCCCTTTAAAATCGGAGACCAATCGCTGCATTTCGTAACGACGGACACGATCGTTTCTTTCGTGAGGCTCTAGCTCAATTAGGGGCGAATCGGCGAAGGGGGTTGTTCCCTCAGTTCCAACCCCCCAACGCCCCCTCGGTATTCAGAAAACCTGAAACCTGGTGAGGGTTAAAACGTTGCTCCTGAACGAGGAAGAAATGTAAAAGTCAAAGCTCTATAGACGTCCTGTAAAAATGGCCATAATAAATAAATTGGTTAGGGATAAGATGCTTTTTGAACGACTTTCTCATATAAAATCGGGTGCTGGGACCAATCTCATGAACGCTTTAGAATGGACAGGGCGTCACTGATTTATGTTTGGGTGCAGAAAACGGCTATTAAATGCAAAATGGTTTTCACGCATTTCAGTCAATTGTATATTAACGGTCCTAGTGGCCGAACTAAAAAAGTTCGGTAGCGTTTTGCATCTGTTACGCCCTAAGAAACTACACCATCTGTTGAAGTGGGCGGCCTTATTTGAATGGGAGGGCGCATTATGCATCAATCGTGTGCTTCCGTTTGTTTTGGACTGCATTTTACCACATCCACTGCTGTGGTAAATTGCAGTGAATACATTATCTAATGCCGTGAATACGACAGCATTTCATTTATAAGATTGGGACAATGGAGTCGCGCCCCGCGAGCTCGGTTTTCCGCTCGGCCGCTACGGGCCGAGGAAGTCGATCTTCGCCTGAGGGCAGGACGGAGGTCAGCGAGGGAGCGCGGGGTCAGCCAGGTATCGCCCAAAGCCGAGCGAGTGCCGCTCCCTCCCCTCTCTTCCCCTCTTCTCCCCTCCCCACCTCGGTATAGATGGGGAGGGACCGAACTGCCAATGACATGCGAGCGGTCAAGGCCGCTCGCGCAGCAGCGACCCTGGCGGCCGGGTGCCGCAACTGGGATTCAGCCAAGTTACCGATTCGCCTCCTGTGGGAGAGCCAAACCAGGGGACATACTTTTTAGATATACTGTACGTAGGCGTGACGTCACAGGCACGTTACCATTTAGCTCCGCCCTCCCGGTGGACGGAGCGGTGACCTTGGCCGGTCAGTCGGATGCGTGGAGCCGACGGGGCAGTAGCTGCCGGACCGGGGCGGCTCGCATTGGACGTGGCTGCCTTGCGGTTGCCGTTGCAGTAATAACGACACAGCAGAAACTAGCGCTCGTAATTAGCGCACAAGCCTTCGTTATTGCATTTATCGCAAATTAACCTACACCATGTGAATCAATAAAGATATACCTACTTTAATACTAAGGTCAGGGCTAGTGACTGCATTTTTGCTTGATTGAACATCATTAAAAAATAATCGTTGATGTCAATTGACTGTGGACTGATGCTAGACGTCGGTCAGCCTACGTCAAAGTTGCAAGACATGGTAAACAGTTGCACCGTAGCATTTAGGCAGTGTGGTTGCTATATGAAATATATTATGCTTATGCGTATGCTTGTGATGGATTCATGTGATTGCGGTGCAACATGAACACCTTCACAACTAACCCATTTTATAATTGGGTAGATTGAGATCACCAGACTGACTTGACCCCAGGTTTTCGTGTTGAACTGCAAGTAATTAAAATACCTGTAAGAAAGTAACCTACTGCCTCGCTATTGGAGAGCTTGAAAACTTACTTAAGTTTCAAAGAATGATGCGATTTCTTTACTAGCCTATGCGCCTGTTTCCCTTATTTTGATGTCACATTTCTACCATGCGCAATAAATCGCACATCACATTTCTGCTCCCTTCTCTACGCTTCCCGAATTACGAACACAGGTTGTGGAGCGATGTCTTAGGCAATCGGAAGTGCTCGCGACTCATCTTCCTACTCTGTTGTTTTCTGCATAGATATAACAGCGTCTTCAGAAACAGCGATTGACGCAGCCAACCATATCGATATTTTCGAGTGGTGCAGAGGCTTCGCATGATGTCACAGGTGACAGAATAGTGGCACGACCTGACCATGAGGTAGGCGCCAGAATGTGCATTCATTCCGATATTCAAATAGTGCATGACTCAGCTCTCTATTTAAGGTTGGTTCTGGGGAGGTTAATATCCTCATTATGAGCATTCTTTATAGCTGAGCTGGATCGGTGTTGATATACTAAAAAGGGAGAAGCGGTTACCAACTCCCCCAAATGAAGAGCAAGCTTTCGCTCAGACACTTCCTGTCGATTCCATGCAGGGTATATTGAGTGAAGGGTAGGACGAACTTCGGTAGGAATTTCTAGTACAACTACTAGAAAACCTACTATATGTGGTCGGGACTAGCAAAAAGTTAGTTTAAACTATAATATGGTAGCGCTTATGGTTGGCAGTCGTCACGCGCACGCGACATTCACTTCTTAAATTTCTTAACTAACAGGTTTTAGGGGCCGATTAGTGGGCAGATACATTCAATTAGCTATTTATAATTTATTATGCAAACATTCAAGAATCTACATCATTCAATTCTAGCCAAGACCACACGGCGCTCCCAGGATTCAAACTCACGACCCTCGGATCCGTAGCCCGATACGCTACCGACTGCGCTACCGAGGACCGCGCGGCGACGATCGGAGAGGCGGATCGCGGGTGCTGGCGTGCAGAGAAATCTTTACCCTGCACGCCGTAGAAGATCGGCTGGGTTTCGTGAAAAATGGTAGAGGAATTGTCGAAAGAAAATTCATCGATCTATCATTTGAGACTAAGAACCATTGATTCCTTCAAAGGTTGACCGAGATATCGCTCGCCGAAAACAGGCCATTTAACATGTAAACCCTATGGGCTGGTAGGAAATGTATGCCGTGGAGCAGCAGTGCTACCAACTAACTTCGGCGGGGGTCGATTCCATGTATGTTTCCAGTGTACGGCTCCCGTGCGACCTCTGCGCGGTGCTGCCACCGACTGAGCCTGTAAAGACCCAGCGCGGTCACGGCCAGTGGGCGGAGTTTAGTTAGGCCCGGCGTAACGTGATTGGCCAGCGCTCCCATCCAATCCGCTGCGTTAGCGAACAAGCCTCTATCCGGGTGCAAAATATAATTAGCATTACGAGCCTATGACAAGTGCCCTAAATATTGACATTTTGTTAAAAGACCATATTGATGAAAATCGGCGCTTGAGCTGAAATGTCTGTCAATATTTCAAGCTGATTTGACAAAAACTGAAGAAATTATCGCCGAAAAACAGGATCTCATGGGGTCTGAAATACATAGTAGTAACGTTGCAATCTAACGGATTTCGCATATTAACTGAACCATTGAGACAGTGAGCGTGTCAGCGTGCTGGTGTGAGCGGCGCGGTGACAGTTTGCAGAGCCCGTTCGTGGACTGCACGCCGCCGCCGGCCGAGGAGGAGCCGGCCGCTGACGCCGAGCACGTGCTGCCCGCCACCAGCGACGACCGGCTGACGGCCGCGCTGGCCGCGCTGGTGCACAGCGTGCGGCGGCCGGCCGGCCTGCCCGCCTGTCCGGCCTTACTGACCGCCAGGGAGCCCGATATCAGGTGAGCGGCCAGTGGGGCACCACCGCGCCGACCGGCGCCACTCCACCACTGTAGTACACCTTTTTGCGTTGTTCGATGGCCAATCGTCTTAACCATTTCGGCATCAGTTTGAACAAGCGTCATTCAGAATAACCGATCGGCGATGTGCATCACTGTTAGACGGTCGGCAAAACAGGCTGGACTCCATTTAACCATTCTGCATAACTCTTTCATTGAGCACAATGTTCGTCATAGGCAAAACTGTTTGTCAGATTGTCATAATGCTTCGACATTTCACAAAACGGTTACTCGTTGTGCAAAATTCATCGGTACTGTGCGTAAACAATGATGATTGATTTAAAACTTCCGTCAATGATCAAAAAAGTCAATAATGTTGTGCTTATCTAGCCATATTAAATGTTAAATGTTAATCACGCATCCATACATGAGGCTTGCGGCAGTTCCAGCGCAATTTGCAACCAATTAACCATTGGATTCCGAAGAAGGCAGCATACGATAGATACAGGGAGACTACGGTCGCTAAACCGAGTAGGCATGTAGATGGCCGAGCGTCCGACTCCTAAACGCTTCGATACGAACCGAAGTCGGGGCCGTCATTATCGCGTCACTGCTCGTGCGATGCTATGGGACAACGCCTCGGGCGGCCGCGCCGGTCGGACTCGCGAGGGAAGGCTGACAGATGGCGAGCCGGGCCCGGTCGGACGGGCACCTTGGTGTTTGGGCGTGGCTCACTTATCCAGCCTGTTGCCTGTTCCTTGGTGACACCTTGGTGCTTGAGGCGGGGTTAACTTATCTAGCCTGTTGCTCTGTTGCCTGTCCATTTTTCAATCAGCCGATAACATGTGTCAGCTACGTTCATCTACATTGTATGCAGGGCTGCGGAGTCGGAGTCGGAGTCGGGAGTCGGAGTCGACGGAGTCGGTTATTTTTGCCGGAGTCGGAGTCGGAGTCGGAGTCGATAAAAATGAACCGACTCCGACTCCGAGCAGGCGTTCGGCTGACGGGAGAATTTTAACTATGCGCCACGCGCGGCAGCCACGTTGCCTAGCAACTGCACGCAGCGACACGAATTCGTCGGCTGACGGCCTGCCGGCCGGGGTGGGCGTCTGCAGCAATAGTGTAGCGGCGGCCGGGGAAGGACGTTACTGACAGGCGTCTGTTTTTTGCATTGCTTTGGGGTTTTACTCGAGAAAGATGTCAAAAATAAGTGGGGTGTACAATCTTTTCGAATGCACAGATTCAGGATTTGCATGCAAAGTGAACGACTGTGGAGTGAAAATACGAGATTTCGGACAGAAAAAGAACGTATGTTCGAACTTAAAACGACATCTGAAGCGATCCCACCCGGACGCCTTTAAAAAAGTTACTGAAGAAGACGAACAAACTAAGAAGTCACGTACTGAGCCGACGCTGATGTCGAAGATATCGAAGATCACTGACTTTTATAGTGCCGGCGCGATTTCCGCCGAGGAACTGAAAAAAAATACAGTGGATCTAGTCGTGCGAGGAGGAGTGTCGCTGACCACTCTAGGCAGCGAGGCCATGCGTAATTTGATTGGGGACATGGCGTCCAAAGTGAAGTTCAGTTTGGACAGGGATTCAATTCGTGATGCGATCATGAGTGCTGCCGAAAAAAGGCGAAATGAGATCAAGGAAGAACTACGCGGCCGCGCCTTATTCATGAAAATAGACGGCTGCACTCGACACAACCGTTCTTACCTCGGAGTAAACGTGCAGTTTTCCAAACCATCCGATTCGGGTGGATGAATTCAAGTTCGTACGCTGGCAGTGCGCGACTGCGATGGGATCCATTCCGGTCAGCACACAAAGGACATGCTGGTTCAGATAATGTCCGATTTTGAAATATCTCATGACCAGATATTCGCGATTGTGTCTGACAACGCCGCAAACATGATAAAAACGGTGTCTCTTTTTAACCAAGAAAGTGGCGAAAGGGAAGCAGGGACGGACACCAGCCTGGCGCCAAACGAAGACAGTCCTGACGAGCCCGATGAAGACGCGCCCGATGGAGAATCAGAAGACGAAGACGGCGACGCCGCAGACGCGCACAACGAAGACGGAGACGCAGCAGACGGAGACATGCCGGACCTCAGGGCTGCCGTCAGTGCTGCGCCGCCAACAGCCAGCCACATGAGGTGTGCTGCCCATACTCTGCAACTGGCAGTCCGAGACGGCATCAAGTAAGTGCCACTTTCTATACTTTATTTTTATAAATAAGTCTTGAAGAAATGTTCATTGATTTGTGTGCTTTTACTTTACGATTACCTATTAATCGGCATATCCTGCTGGACGCCATGGCAGCTGACGTCTTAAACTGTTTTTTTTAGCAGCGGCATTCCGTTCGTTGGTGGGAACATTTTGTCCCCCCTCCCCTGTGTTTTTTCATGTGTTTGTTTCTGTTTGTTTCTGTGTTTGTTACGCGCACTGGAGGGAGGCAAAATCCGCCCCCCCCCCCACCTGTTGATCTCCTAAGGTCAAAGGTCAGGTCACCAGGTCAGGTCAAAGTCAAAGTGCCGGATTCGAAGTTGAAGGTCGTGCTGTGACACAGTTTTAGTCTGAATCACTTCAAACTTTCAGGGTCCTATACGGAGGTGGATACCTACAAAATTTATATCTCGGATTTTCCAATTTCGTGACATCATGCAGGCATGCCGAAAAAAGCGGCACTGCGCGCCGCCGTTTTTTGAGATATTCACGAAAAACTGGAGGTAGCGGATTTTGCCCCCCCCCCCTCCCTCCAGTGCGCGTGTTAATATATTACCAATGTCTTATAACGGGGCGGCGGTCAGGGAAAAAATGCGATGACCTTAGGTTAATCATGTAAAAATATTAGGTATACAATTTGTAGCTACCTATCACTAGATCACATTTAAAATAAAACAATGTCCACTAAGCACTAGCGGGATGTCAAGCTTCGAAAAATATGTTCGAGGGTGATGTTACGTAGCCAGTGACCTGGTGACCTGACTTTTCATATTTGAAGTGAAAAGTTTCAGACAATGTGGGCAATGAATGTCGAAGAAATGTGCCAGGTTTGGTTGTACGTATGGCCTATGGGCGCAATTTTTACGTTGATGGGGAAAAATCCGGGGGCTGATCTGCCCACTGGCCGTGCTGGGGTTTAAAGAAATACACGCAACTGAATCCACTTCTAATTTCGCAGGTCCGTCAGTACTCTCCTGGCAGGAGCACGGTCCGTAGTAAAGAAGCTCCGGACGCCTCATCTGGTTGCCGTCATCAAGCGCAGGGGAGCGCTGAGTCCTATCTTGGACAACGAAACGCGTTGGTCCAGCACAGGTCGGATGCTGACCAGGCTCCTGGAGCTCCGTCCGGTCGTGGAAGACCTGGGAGCTGCGAACCCGCAACTGCATCTGTCCAATGATAAGTGGCAGCAGCTGCAGAGCCTCGCAGATGCTCTGGTCGAGCCGACCGCTACTATGGCACGTCTGCAGGCTGCGGAACTGACGCCCGGCCTCTTCCTCAAAGAGTGGAAACTCTTGAAGCGTAAGTTGGAGGCCAATGGCACGAGGCTCGCTGCCGCCATCGCTGCTGCCATGGATCGACGCCAGGGCAGGCTCTTTGAGTGTGACCTGTTCTTGGGGGCAGTGTACGTGGACCTCCGTTACCGACTTCTGCTTGATGAGGCTGATCTCAACTACGCTGAGCGGGTTTTCAACAGGATTGTCGAGCGTGAGAGCCAAATCCGCTGCCCCGAGACGTCCCACGGGGAAGGCAGCGGCGAGCCAGGAAGCCAGCAGACGGCGCGGGCAGCGAATGACGGCACTGGCAACAACGCCAGCAGCACCAGCAGCGAAGATGAGCTGGAACAGGCGCTGGACCGCCTTCAACAGCGTCGTCGGTTGACGGACGCAGAGCTGACGTCGACTCTACGTGAAGACCTGGAGAAGGTGCGACATCTTCCCCGAGTCAAAAGCAAGGACGCGTTCGAGGCTATCTGCTCTTCATTCCCGTCTCAGGTGCGAAATGCAGCTTGTGCCTTGACGGCACTACCAGTCACGCAAGTGAGCGTCGAAAGGCTGTTTTCGGCTCTCAAGTTCATCCTGAGTGACGCGCGGTCGACAATGAAACCCGACTTGGTCGAGGCTATACTGATCCTTCGCACGAACTGGCAGTAAAGTGGCAGCGGGATACAAGATACCTACCATACTGTGGTACTAGGCTGTGGTACTGGACATTGGTAGTCGTAGCCCGTAGGTATGTACTTATAGTAGTACTCGAGATCCGAGGCTCGAGGCTAATCTCAGAGAACCGACGTGCTATGTCGATTGAGCTCAGAATATACTTAATCGTGCTACAATTTGTTTCGTTTCAGAACAGTGGTGACGGTGAATTCCCGTGTGTGGTGGGAGAGGGGGTCTTTACTCGTATTTTACAATGGGCATTACTACTACATAGCATCTGTCAAGTACGCACATGTCTCAGGCATGTGTAGTATTTAAAATGCATCACGAATCATTTAAAAACAGCCGAAGTCTGCCGGAGTCGGAGTCGGAGTCGGAGTCGACGAAAAAATACCGACTCCGGAGTCGAAGTCGACTCCATTGAAATGACTATCGACTCCGCAGCCCTGATTGTATGTACTTAACCTATGGCGGAGGACGTGCCGGCGCGGCTAGACACACGACACCCGCGCGCGGCGACTGGGCCGGCCGGATCGGCGGAGACAAAGACCACGCTGCTGCGCGTCTCCCAGTGCACAAACGCAGCCGGAGCCCGGTATTAGAGATGCTAACTTTCCTCCAAAAGCCACAACCGGCACCGTTCCACACCACGGCCAGCACAAGGATCACCGGCACAACACCACAGTTCAACCACCAATGCCGGCATATTACCAGCGTGATGAACAAATATCTCGTTTATGCTGTTTGTAGGACAAATTACAACAAGAAGTATTACTTGTATCCAAATATAACACATGCACATGACCGGCAAGCTGCCGGCAGGAATAACCACTACCA